AAAAAAAAAATAAATAAAATAAAATTAAATTGCAGACATTAGGACTTCTTTCCTCTAAATAATTAAGTCTCTCCTAAAAATGAGAACATTTTCTTACCTAACCATGGTAAAGTGATCAAACTGAGAATATTTAACATTAGATTTTTGCTATTTTTTCTGTGATATTCTTTGTAGCAATTTACCCCCATATAAGACTACACATTGCACTTAATTGTTAGGACCCTTTAGTTGCCTGTCCTTTGGATCAGGTTTTCATTTCTTTCTTTATGTTTTCTTATAACTGAAATACTTGAAGAGTATGGGCATGGCTTTTTGTAATATCCTTTAAATTTGCCCAATTCTTCATGATTAGATTAAGATTAAGGCATTTTTGGTCAGAATACTGTTATTATTTCTTGAAGCGTATCATAAAGCACAGAATGTCTGTTTCATTACTGGTGTTGTGACTTTGATCGCCTGGTTAGGTGATATCTGCCAGATTTTCCACTGTAAAGTTTTCATTGTTCCTATTGTAATTAAGTGATTTGGAAGGAATAAAGAGACTGAGACTGTTCAAATCCTATTCCTCGTTAGTTTTCATCCAACATCATAAGCATCCATTGACAGTATTTGACCAACTCACTACTATGGTAGTTGTGAAATGGTAATTTTCTAACTCTCATTCCTGTTAAATTTGTTAGTGGGCATTGTTCTTTATGGAATTATAGGTTTCTTTTCTCTCTCTCTTGCTTTCTTTCATCATAAGGATGGACTAATGGATTTTGCAAACTTTGTTTTGCTAACTTTCTTATCCATTATTGTTATTGCTTATTTTGATGCTCAAATTGTCCCAAATTTGGGCAGTGGGAGCTTCTTCAAGCTGGCTCCTAGGTCTTTTCAGCATTTCTCATTTTTCTTTTAACATTTTCTCACTTTCTGGCATAAAAAGTTGTTCTGTGTTCATCATGTACTCTCTCTGTTCCAGGCCTGGAATGAGCTTTTTTTCTTTTTTCAAGAACTTGGTTCCTTTAGGGATAAACGGTATTTAAAAACCAAACCATGGGCATCATTGTTCCTTTGGTATGGTTGTTGTTTACCCTTTTGGCAGAATGGACTAAGAGGTACATAATTTCATGTTTTTAAAATTTTGAGATCATACTTAAGTGCCTATTCAAACCTAATACCACAGGATTGTTCTTTACCTTTACCTGTTCTATATTTGTATATCCGTTCTTTCTCATTGAGAATTCTGTCTCACCCAAAATATTGATGTATTTCCTCATTTTGAAGTACTTTTTCCTGGAATAAGTCCACAGGGCCATGATAAATTATCCTGTGTATATTGCTGGATTAATTATATTTACTGATGTTTCATTAAACATATCTGTGATGTGTTCATTTGAGATAATTGTCTATAATTTTCTTTTAAGTTTTCATTGGGAATATGCTGTTTTCATTAAATTAGTGGGGAAATGTTCCATACTTTTCTGTTTTCTGAAAAATTTTTGATAAGATTGGTATTATTTTTTCTGTAAATGTTTGATAAAATTTAATGTTCCACCCATTTTAGCCTACAATTTTCTCAGGATATTTAAAATTATGAACTCATGAAACTGTGAGATCAGGAGTTGGAAGCTTAACTGACTAAGCCACCCAAGTGCCTCTCAGAGAATCTTTTAAATTTTTTCTCTGTTGTCAATTCTTATTTCACTGTTTGTTTCTTTGTTTGTGTTTGTTTTGGATTATTTCTTTTTTTGGCTTCTGTCTTTCTACTTATTTGGGGTTAATATACTACTTTTTTATAGCATCTTAAGTTGGGATTTTTTTTTTTTGTCTTTCCTAGTACAAACATTTAAAAATATACATTTTCCTCTAAATACTACTTTACGTATATTTCACAAATTTTGATATGTTAGTTTTCATTATCATTTAATTAAAGTATGTTTTAATTTCTCTTATGAATTTTGATCCTTGGATTAATTGCAAGTGTGTTTACTCCCCGTCAATTTGGTATTTTCCAAATATCTAATTGCTATTTTCATTATCGGTGGAGAGTATTTCCTGTGTGATTTCACTTCTTTTAAAGATTTAAACTTTGTTTGTTTGTTTGTTTTTTAATCATTCAGCACATGGTCAGTCTTGGGGTTTTTTTTTTTTTCTTTATTAACCCTTCCCCCTTTCTCTTGAGGTGCCTGGAGAAGATGCTACAAGCATTTGCAACTTTCTTGGAGTTCTGTACTTTCTCTCTAACCTACATTTGGCCTGTAGCCATTTGTTAAAAATTTTAGCTGAATTATTCTTACATCTTGTAAGGTAGCCCCATCTTCTTTCCATGCTCAGCCACAAGCAAGCCAAAGTGCCCATCCTGCCTTTCCATAGTGGTGTGTGTCTTTTATTAGATTTCATTTTTATTGCTTACATTCTCAGTGCTCTGATGATTTCAAGGAAAAAAAGATGTGATTTTATAGATTATCTAGTTTTTCCTTGTTTTTTAGGAGGGAGTGATGTTCTTTTAGTTTTATCTTAGATGAAGTGGATGTCCAGAAATTTTTTCTGACCCATTCTCTTTTTTCCTTATGATACACCAACTACATGTTTGTTAGAACATTTGATATTACCCAACTGGTTTCTAATGCTAATGCTCTATTCCTTTTTTCATTTCCCTGATGATTAGTGATGTTGGGCATCTTTTCATTTGTCTGCTGGCCATCTAGATGACTTTGGAGAAATGTCTGTTCATAAATCTGCCCAATTTTTAATTGGATTTTTTTTTTTTTGGATGTTGAGTTGTTTGTGTTCTTTATGTACTTCAGATGCTAATCCTTTACTGGCTATATCATTTGGAAATCTCTTCTCCCATTCATTAACTTATCTTTTTTAGTTTTGTTGGTTGTGTCCTTCACTGTGCACAGGTTTTATTTTGATGTAGTCCCAATAGTTTATTTCTGCCTTTGTTTACTTTACCTTAGGGGACGTATCTAGCTAGAAGTTGCTACAGCCAGTATCAGAAAAATTGCTGCCTGTGCTGGGATATTTATGGTTTCAGGTCCCACATTTAGGTCTTTAGTCCATTTTGTTTTTGTGTATGGTGTAAGAACGTGGTCCAGTTTCATTCTTTTACATGTTGCTGTCCAGTTTTCCCAACACCATTTGTTGAAGACTTTTTCCGATTGTATATTCTTTCCTCTTTTGACCATATAATCGTGGGCTTATTTCTGGGTTTTCTTTCTTTTTTTTCCCCCATTGATCTGTCTTTGTGCAAGTACCATACTATTTTGATTATGACAGCTTTATAGTATATCTTGAAATTCTTTTTCAAGATTGCTTTGGCTATACAGCTTTGGCTATTGTGGTTTCATACAAATTTTAGGATTATTTATTCTAGTTCTTTGAAAAATGTTGGTATTTTGATAGAAATTGCATTAAATCTGTAGATTGCTTTAGGTAGTATAGACATTTTTACCAGTTAATCTGTTATTGACCCAGCCTTCCAAGATGCTTTCTTTTATATCTTGACAGTTTTTCAGCTAGGAGTGATTTGACTGCTTTGGTTTACTTTTTGATTCTAGAATTTCTGGTGCTACCATTTTTCCCTCCATAGCTACTTTCTTTAAAAACTTGAAAGGGCATGTGTTGCAGAGTGAGTAGCATTGGAGAATTGCTGGACCAAGTGGTCTGTTTTTGTGTTAGAGAACTATTATCTCTAAACCATTTTGCTATACCACACTGTTGTCTACAGTCTAACTGATTTCTGTTTGCCTGCTAAAATGTATTTGCCTAATGGTAGATTCACCTGTATCTAGAGTAGGTCCCTGGCCCAAGGTAAGGAAGCAGCATGGTTTACTACTGCTTCATATATGAACTCTCCATTCTCTGCTTCTGTGGAATTTAGTTCATCAGGGCGTCTTTGCATCTACTACTCCTCATTAGCCCATCGAAAATATCTTGTTGCTTTGGGAATGTAGACCTTTCTTATTCAACATTCCAAACTTCAGGAACAGAATTTCTCTTCAGTAATTTTTAGTTATATTAGATTACTCATTAAATTCCCAAAACCTTTCAACTACTTACTAACCAATCTTCTACATATGGGTGAATATTTACCTTTATTCTATTCTAAATCTAGGTCTTAAGTAAACTTGAGTACTTTTTGAGGCTTTTTGCTTCTATTGATTAAATTCTGTATTTTTGTAATGATTCAAAATTCCCAACTTGCCAAAAGAAATAGAAACCTAACCAGCATATTTTATCAAAGTAAATAGGTTATTTGAGCCCTGTTGTGTTCCAACTGGCATGATTTTGTGAAATCTTAGTATTTGAAAATTTAAGATTTTAACATATACATTTGGGAATGAGTCTTTGTGGTATAGGAACATGGCCAGTACTGGTACATATGTGATGACTTTAGGAAAGGGCTACTCCTATGAGTGAGCCAATTATGAAAAGTTGCCCCTTCTTGCTCCCAGCTTGGTGTCTGATTTCAGCCCCCACTCTTCCCAGTGTCTAGGTGCCTTCATACTATCTGTACATTGTACATCTGAATCAGGAAAAATTTTTAGTTGTTTTCTTTTAATGAAAGAAACTTATAAAAAAGTAACAATAGGATATTCATATAGTTCCATGTTTAACATGTATGTTTTTTTCTGTTTACAAGAGTCAAATCAGTTTATGGTACTGCTTTTAACTACTTGTTTAACTATAAATTAACATCTCCCATAAAGACTGTTACTGAAGAATTTCTATAAAAATTTAGGAATATATTCTATTTATTAGAATGTCTGAGAGGTTCTCTAAGGGGAGTAGTAGTTGGAGACAGTAAAACCACAGTATTTGGAATTTGTGTTCTGGTTCTTTGCATATAACAAGCACTGAAATGTATTGGTTAAATGTTAAAATTTCTGAAAGACAGACAGGTTAATTTTTATGAAAGTGGTTTATCTGTAACTTTAGGAACACACTATCCTGTAGTGCAAGGTATACTTATCAAAGCATTAAAAAAATACCTGATTTTTGTTCTATAGGTATACTGCAACATCCAGATGGCACAGTTTTGAAACAGTTACAGCCACCTCCAAGGGGTCCAAGAGAGCTGGAATTCTATAATATGGTAAGTGAGGTAAGATTTGTTTTGTTGTATTCAAAGAGTTTTCCATAGTTTTCTGATGATGACTTGGTAAAAAAATACATTTGACAGCAGTGCTTGGGTGGTTCAGTCAGTTAAACGTCCATCTCTTGATTTTGGCTCGGGTCATGACCTCACAATTCGTGGGATCAAGCCCCACATTGGGCTTTGTGCTGACAGCTTGGAGCCTGCTTGGGATTCTCTGCCTCTCTTTCTGCCCCTCCCCCTGCGTGCACACTTTCTCTCTCTCACACAAAATAAATAAGTATTTAAAAAAAAGAGGGACACCTGGATGGCTCAGTTGATTAAGTGTCAGACTTGGGTCAGGTCATGATCTCACAGTTTGTGGGTTAGAGCCTGTTTTTGGATTCTGTGTCTCCCTGTCTCTTTGACCCTCCCCTGCTCACACTGTCTCTCTCAAAAATAAATAAAACATTTAAAAAAATAAAAATAAATACATTTGATAGCATTTCCTGGTATGTTGTGTGCGTCACTGAAAACAAAAGTTTCATGAAGCAAAATGCTTCTCTTTACTGATACAGTCTTGTATTTTCTACTCTACTTCATTTTTTAAAGATCCTTATTCCTAACCATTAGATTGATTTCAATTAATGGGGTTTTGACCTACATTTTAAAAAACACTTAACTGAGGGACTATTCGTATTTCTCAGAAATGCTGAGTTTAAGTAAGTGTTTTTAATTTTACTACAGGATATTTTAGAACCTTAAATGTACTAATGTGCATTGTGAATCTCCAAAGTGAGGGATGGGGAAAAGGGCATACTTAACATCCACTTAACTCTATGATTAGAAATGCTTTTTAGTTAATTCACAATATTTTCAACCACCACCTCTGTCTGATTACAAAACATTTTCATCACACAAAAGAAAACCCTGTACATGTTAAGCCTTCCCTGGCAACAGTTAGTCTGCTTTTTATGGACTTAACGTATTTAGGATATTTTATTTATTTTAATTTTTTTTTAAATTTTTTTTTTAATGTTTTTTGTTTATTTCTGAGAGAGAGAGAGAGAGCGCGAGCGAGACAGCGAGAGAGACAGTGTGAGCAGGGGAGAGTCAGAGAGAGAGGGAGACACAGAATCCGAAGCAGGCTCCAGGCTCTGAGCTGGCTGTCAGCACAGAGCCTGATGTGGGGCTCGAACCCACGAGCTGTGAGATCACGACCTGAGCCGAAATCGGACGCCCAACCGACTGAGCCACACAGGCGCCCCATATTTATTTTAATTTTTTAAAAAAATTTATTTCTGAGAGAGAGAGCGAGAGAGAGAGAGAGAGAGAGAGACAACATGAGCAGGGGAGGGTCAGAGACAGAGGGAGACACAGAATCCAAAGCAGGCTCCAGGCTCTGAGCTAGCTGTCAGCGCAGAGCCCGACACAGGGCTCGAACCCATGAACTGTGAGATCGTGACCTAAGCCTAAGCCAGACGCTTAACCGACTGAGCCACTCAGACTCTCCTAGGATATTTTATATAAATGGAATTATGAGATATTTCTGGGTTTCATTTAGCATAACTTTTTTTTTTTTTTTTTAAGAGACCGTGTGCACACAAGCAGGTGAGGGATAGAGGCAGAGGAAGTGAAAGAATCTTAAAGCAGGATCCATGCCCAGCATAGAGTCTTACATGGGGCTTAATCTTGTGACCTTGAGACCACGACAGAAGCTGAAATCAAGAGTCTGACGCTCAGTAGACTGAGCCACCCAGGCACCTCAGCATAAAACATAAAAACATAGATGTTTTTAAGTTCATCAACACTATAGTATGCATTAGTACTTTGCTCCCTTTTATGGCTGAGTAATATTCCATTTTACTTAATGCCACATTTTGTTTATCCATTCACCCATTGATGGATATTTGGGTTGTTTTCACCTTTTGGCTTTTGTAAATAGTATTGCTGTGAACATTCCTGTGTAAGTATTTGTTTGTGTACCTGTTTCCAATTTTGGATATAGACCCATGAGTAGAATTGGTGGGTCATGATAATTCTGCATTAAACTTCTTGAGAAACTGTCAGTGTTTCCGAGAGTGGCTTTACCAATTTATATTTTCATCAGCAATATATGAGGTTTCCAATTTCTCCACACCCTCACCAACATCTGTTAGGGTTTTGTTTTTTTAATGGCCATCCAAGTGAGTAGTAAAGTGTTCATCTCATTGTGGTTTGTTTGATTTGCATTTCCCTAAAGACTAATGATGTTGAGCATCTTTTTATATACTTATTGGCTATGTATATTTCTTCTTTGGAGTCAGATCTACTCAGATCCTTTGCTTATTTTTTCATTGAGTTGTCTTTTTTATTTAGTTGTAGTAGTTCTTTATGTATAGATAAAAGTCCCTTATCAGATAGATGGGGAAGCCAATGAGAATGAAGACATGACAGTCCAAAACTTTGGGATGCAGCAAAGGCGGTCATAACAGAAAAGTATATAGCAATCCAGACCTTCTGAAAGACGGAAGAAATGTCTCAAATATATAACCTAACCTTACACCAGAAGGAGGTAGAAAAAGAACAGCCAATAAAGCCAAACACCAGCTGAAGAACAGAAATACTAAAGATTAGAGCAGAAATCAATGATGTTGAAATCCAAAACAACAGTGGAACAGATCAATGAAACTAGGAACTGGTTCTTTGAAAGAACTAACAAAATTGATAAACTCCTACCCAGACTTATCAAAAAGAAAAAGAAAGAACTCAAATAAATATCATGAATGAAAGAGATCACAAACAACACCACAGAAATACAATTATAAGAGAATATTATGAGCAATTGTATGCCAACAAATTGGACACTTTGGAAGAAATGGGTACATTCCTAGAATATACTACCAAAACTGTAGTATAAACTACCAAAACCGAAACAAGAAGAAATAGAAAATTTAAACAGACCAATAACCTGTAAAGAAATTGAATCAGTAATCAAAAATCAGAGAAACAAGGGGCACCTGGGTTGGCTCAATTGGATAAGCATCTGACTCTTGGTTTTGGCTCAGGTCATGGTCTCACAGTTTTGTGAGTTCAAGCTCCACGTCAGGCTCTGCATTGGCAGCGTGGAGCCTGCTAGGAATTCTCTCTCTCTCTCCCTCTCTCTGCCCTTCCTCCACTCGTGTCATCTCTGTCTCTCTGTCTCTCTGTCTCAAAAATAAACTTAAAAAAAATTAAACAAGACAAATAGACAAGAGTCTAGGGCCAGATAGCTCCCTAGGGGAATTCTACCAAACATTTAAATGAGAATTAATACCTATTCCTTTGAAACTGTTCCAAAAAATAGAAGTGGAAGGAAAACATTTAAACTCATTTTATGAGGTCAGCATTACCTGGAGTCCAAAACCAGACAAAGACCCCCTCTAAAAAGGAGAATTACACACCAATTTCACTGATGAACATGTATGCAAAAATTCTCAACAAGATACTAGCAAATTGAATCCAATAATACATTAAAATAATTATTTAGCACAATCAGGTGGGATTTATTCCTGGGCTGCAGGGCTAATTCAATATCCACAAATCAAGGGATAAAAGAAAGGCTAAGAACCACATGATCCTGTCAATAGATGCAGAAAGACCATTTGACAAAACACATCATCCTTTCTTGATAAAAACCTTCAAGAAAGTAGTTATAGAAGGAACACACCTCAACATCATAAAGGCCATATATGAAAGACGCACACACCCACAGCTAATATCATCCTCAGTGGGAAAATCTCAGAGCTTTCCTCTTAAGGTCAGGAACACAATGGGGATGTCTGCTCTCACCACTGTTATTCAAGTACTGGAAGTCCAATCCTCCTCAGTCAGACAACAGAAATAAATAAAAGACATCCAAATCAGCAAGTAAGAAATCAGACTTTCACTCTTTGCAGGTGACATGATACTCTACATGAAAGCCTAAAAGACTCCACCAAAAAATTGGTAGAACTGATACATGAATTCAGCAAGTTGCAGGATATAAAATCAACATACAAAAGTCTGTTGCATATGTATATACCAATAATGAAGCAGCAGAAAGAGAAATCAAGGAATCAATCCCATTTACAGGTACACCAAAACCCATAAGATACCCAAAAATAAATCTAACCAAAAAGGTGAAAAATCTATACACTGAAAACTATAGAATGCTTATGAAAGAAATTGAAGAAGACACAAAGAAATGGAGAAGCATTCCATGCTCATGGATTGGAAGAACAAATATTGTTAAAATGTTGATACTACTCAAAGCAATTTACACATTCAATACAATCCCTATCAAAATAACAGCATTCTTCACAATGCTAGAACAAACAGTCTTAAAATTTGTATGGAACCAGAAAAGACTCCAAACATCCGAACAGTCTTGAAAAAGAAAACCAAAGTTGGAGGCATCACAGTTCCGGACTTTAAGCTGTTTTACAAAGCTGTAATCACCAAGACATTATGGTACTGGCACAAAAACAGGCATATAGATAAATGGAACAGAATAGAAATACCCAGAAATGGACCCAGTAATGTATGCCACCTAATCTTTGATAAAGTAGGAAAGTCAAATGGAAAAAAGTCTCTTCAGCAAATGTTAGGAAAACCAGACCACTTTTTCACCATACACAAAAATAAATTCAAAATGGATAAAAGACCCAAATGTAAGACAGGAAACCATCAAAATCATACAGGAGAACACTGTCACCAACCTCTTTAACCTCTGCCACCACAGCTTCTTACTAGACATGTCTCCAGTGGCAAGGGAAACAAAAGATATCATCAAGATAAAATGCTCCTGCACAGCAAAAGAAACAATAAACAACAGTAAAAGGCAACTGATGGAATGGTAGAAGATATTTACAAATGACCTATCCGATAAAAGGTTAGTCTTAAAAATCTATAAAGAAATTATCAAACTCAACAGTCAAAAAATAAATAATCCAGTGAAGAAATAGGCAGAAGACATGAATAGACACTTTTCCAAAGAAGATAGCTGGTTGGCTAATAGACACATGAAAAGATGCTCAACATCTCTCCTCATCAGGGAAATACAAATTAAAACCACAATGAGATACCACCTCACACCTGTCAGAATGGCTAAAATTAACAGCCCAGGAAACAACAGATGTTGGCAAGGATGTGGAGAAAGGGGAACTCCTTTGCACTGCTGGTGGGAATGCAGATTGGTGCAGCCACTCTGGAAAACAGCATGGCGGTCCCTCAAAAAAATTAAAAATAGAGGTACCCTGCAACCCAGCAATTACACTGCTAGCAATTTATCCAAAGAATACAAAAATGCTGATTTGAAGCAATTTTTATAGTTGTGCTATCAGTAACCAAATTATGGAAAGAGCACAAATGTCCATCAACTGATGATGGATAAAGATGTGCGTGTATATATGTTTGTACACACACACACACACACACACACACACTGGAATATTGCTTGGCAATTAAGAAGAATGAAATCTTGCCATTTGCAACAACATGGATGGAACTAGAGTGTATCCTGCCAAGTGAAATAAGAGAAAAACAAAGATGATTTTGCTCATGTGGAGTCTAAGAAACAAAACAGATGAACATAGGGGAAAGGAACAAAAAAATAAGATAAAAGCAGAGAGGGAGGCAAACCATGAGAGACTCTTAAATACAGAGAACAAACCAAGGACTGCTGGAGGGGTATTGGGTGGGGGGATGGGCTAAATGGGTTTTGGACATTAAGGAGGGAACTATTTGAGATGAGCACTGGGAGTTGTATGTAAGTGGTGAATCACTGGGTTCTGCTCCTGAAACCGGTAGTACACTACATGTTAACTAACTTGAATTAAAATTTTTTTTGTCCAACATCACTTAAACAGTTAATGGTGGCCATAGGATTTGAATGTAGGCAGTCTGACTCTAGAATATGTGCTTTTAACTGCTATACACTGTCTCTTGTTTGAAGAATGTGTTTTATATTCACTCTGTAAAAGTCTTGTACATGGTTTGATTTATTTTAGGTACCTTATTTTTTATTGTAAATAATATTTTTGAGGTAAGTTTCTCAGTGATTGCTAATATAAGAATGAAATATTTGTATAGTGTTTCTTTTATATCTAGTAATCTTGTTGAACTATAACAATTCTAATTGTTTTCTATGTAGACAGTTCTCTGATGGGAAGGGTTTTTTTTGTTGCTGTTGTTCCTTTTGAATATATATATATATAATTTTTAAAAATATTTATTTTTGAAGGAGAGACAGAATGTAGAGTGGGAGTGGGAGAGGGGCAGAGAGAGAGGGAGACACAGAATCCGAAGTGAGCTCCAGGCTCTGAATTGTTAGCACAGAGTCTGATGTGGGGCTTGAACTCAAGTGTCATGAGATCATGACCTGAGCCAAAGTGGGACAGTTAAAGGACTGAGCCACCCAGGCACCCCTGAATCCATATATTTTTGTCAAGTACTTCCAGTTCTGTGCTAAATAGAAGCAATGATGGGAGAGGGGACTCATCTTCCTCTCATTTAACAGAAGTGCTTCTAATATTTCTCCATTTAATTATGGCTTTCTCTCTAAGTTTCTGATTAGAGATTTCTTCTCAGGTTAAGGAAGTTGCCTTTTGGTGAGTCAAGAAACAGATAGTACACTTTGTTTATTTACCAGGGTGTGGTCAGAGTTTAAAGCCACTTGCAAGAGATAATGCTATACCATCCTTGGACCTGAAAGGGCAAAGAAAGGGAGTGGTTATTAGAACCCAGGGAAGGTAGCTTTACCAGAAGTCTTGTACTGAGAAGGAAGGAATTAGAGATGTAAATAACCTGACCTCAGCTCTTTTCCTACCCTCTACTGTCTTGCTCTATTAAGTGACAGGGGCAGAAGGGCAAGTGATCCCCACAGATATAGTTAAGTTAGCTTCTTGGAAAAAGAGGAAGATACATAGCATCTTTACTATCTTTATTTCAATAAACAATTTAAAATAATGAGTATTGAATATTTTTCAGCTACCTTTTCTGTATCTATTAAAATAATTTTATGATTTTCCTCCTTAAATCTGTTCAATCTGAACTATTATTTTCCTCACATTTTCCTTGTGTGGTTTTGATATCAAGTTTCTTTTAGCTTTATAAAATGAGTTGAGCATTTCTTTTTCTATTTTGTGGAAGAATTTGTATCAGATTAGGATTTTGTTCCTTAAAGGCCTGATAGAACTTAATTGTAAATTCATCAGAGTAGCCAGTTGTCTGTCTTTTTTTTTCTTTCCTTTCCATTTTTCCTTTCCTTTTTTCATTTCATTCTCTTTCCTGGGAAAGGATAGATATGTAATCACTGATTCAGTTTCAAAAATATCTTGAATTTTTGTCAATGTGATAGCAAAATATAGTTGGATTATATTTTTATATAATCTGGTTATGACTCCTTTTTTATAGTTGGATTATATTTTTATAATCTGGTTATGACTCCTTTTTTATTCCTGATGTTATTTATTTGTTGCTTCTCTCTTTTTCTTGATCAGTATGGCACCCAGCATTTTTGAAGTAGAATGGTAGGAGAAGGGAAAGGATGCCAAGGCTTTTACTGTTCAGTAGTTAGACTTCAATTACTCTCCTTGTTTTAGGATAGTAACTTTGTCCTCCTCTATGTCTACTCCCTAAATTCATAGATCCTTTGGTTAAAGTCTTTAGAGTGGACCTTTATGAAGCCCAAACATCATAGCTTACTGCTATGGCTTACTGCTTAGCTTACTGCTTTTGGTTTCGTCTTTACCTTTATAGATCCCTGTGAATTTCCTTTATTTCCTTAGGAACTCAGCTGTGCATTTAAGAAAATATTTGCTGTATTTTATCCTACCTCTCTGTAGGTAGAAAAGTTTTTTAGGTTATCTGGTCTGGTGTATTGGAGTAAATACCAGGCCTACTACTTTAAAAAATTATATTTAAAGTAAAAAGAGAAAGTTTATCTCTCTACTCTTCCAGTTCTCTTATCTTTTTAAGATAAGATGATTTTAAGATAAGATTTAAGATGATAAATATATCATCAACCTCTTTAACTACTAAGTACATAGAGATATACTTGTTCCTCCATCTAGTTATGTCATCATGAACACTCTGCCCTCTGTTCCTTAGGCTGGGAACAGAGATGATAAGGTACAACCTTCTCTTAATTACCTTGGCCTAGAAGTGACTAATACTACTTCTGCTCACATTTCAGTAGAGGAGGCTGGGAAATACAGTGTATCACTTGGATATTTGGTGAGTTTCTGCCACACTTGAGTTCATTCTGTAGAATTGGGTTGTATGTGTAACTACTTGACATGAATATGGCTTAACAAATACAATTAGAATTGTAATACTAAGATTTCATAAACATTTTACACCGGTAAACTTTAATGGTTTTGGATAATTAGGTAGACCATATTGTGAGAGTTCATTGGCTAAAATGTCTTAGAAGTTGTTTTTAAAACAAAAATATTTTCTTTCCCTTGTCTTCTAGGAAACAAAGACTCTAATTCCAGGATACAGGAACATTTTAGTATTTTCTAGAATTATTATTGGTAATAAATCAAGGAATTAAATGTACAATAATTAGACTTACATGGAATTAAAAGATAATTTTTTTAAAGGTAAAATCAAAACTCCCTTGCAGACATGAAATAAATAGTTGTTACGGATTTTGTTGGGGTGTCTGGGTGGCTCAGTCGGTTAAGTGTCCGACTTCAGCTCAAGTCATGATCTCACAGTTCATGGGTTCATGCCCCGCGTCAGGCTCTGTGCTGACAGCTAGCTCAGAGCCTGGAGCCTGTTTCAGATTCTGTGTCTCCCTCTCTCTCTGACCCTCCCTGCTCATGCTGTCTGTCTGTCTGTCTGTCTCTCTCTCTCTCTCAGAAATAAATAAAAAAAAACAACAAAAAAAATATTTTGTTAAACTCATTATTTAATGAGGGAACGAAGCAAATATTCAAACTGGTTCAGAAGAGAAGCCGAAGAAGCACAAGTTTATAAGAAATAAGAGAAGTTAAAATAAGTATATATGTGTGGACACTAAATCCCCCTTCCTGTGGTGGGTAGAGGGTAGAGGGAAATCGGTTGAACCTCTTCTCCCCATAATTTATTTATGTTTCTGTGGGCAGGAATTATTTTGCATTTGCTTAAAGCTTTATCTACATTTTACTTAGTTGTAAAATAGTTAAAGCTAGAATCAGATAAAGAAGAATATGCTCTAAATAATATGTAGTTTTTTGTTGGAGATACACAGTAATCTTTTTTGGCTTCCAAATGTATTTCTAGTTGAAACTTATACCAGATAAATTATGATTCAACAATATTGTTTTATTTGACAAATATGCAGGGCAATTATAAAGCATTATTAGAAACCAACACACAAATGTGTTTATTCTCTTTGTTTCAGGTTTATGCTGCTGATTGTACTGATGGTGTTCTTTTAGAGCTACGAAAATATTTGCCAAAATATTATGGCATCTGGTCACCTCCTGCTGCACCAAATGGTAACCTTTTCTTAAGAATCAATCTGTCCTTTAGTATTAGTTCATGAGAGTGGCTTTTTAAAAGTCTTTATATAAAATCAAGCCTAGTATTATACAAACAATATATGTGTGCTTTTCTTCTTAGTATTTTCTTGACTTCATTAAAGAAAACTTACTAAATCTTTTGCTTTTCATAACCAGTTTCTTAAACGATATAAAACATTAATGACCAATTTGTTGTAATTAAATTTTTAAAAATCTATATACTTAGTACTATATTAATTTATAGATGTTCTTTTTTCATTATTTATTGGACAGTTTCCCATTTTGTTTTGTTAATTTTTTTAATGTTTTATTTATTTTTTGAGAGAGAGAGAAAGAGGCAGCATGAGCAGGGGAGGTTCAGAGAGAGAGGGAGATACAGAATCTGAGGCAGCCTCCAGGATCCGAGCGGGGCTCAAACCCACGAACAGTGAGATCATGACCTGAGCCGAAGTCGGACACTTAACTGACTGAGCCACTCAGGCGCCCCTCCCATTTTGAATAGGAAAAAAAAATCCAAAATATTTTCTTTGCATGACTTTCTCTGTCTCTCCTATCCCTCAACTCTAGGTTTTAAATTACAGTCTTTAAAAAAATACTGCTAAGTTTCATGGTTAGAGGACAAAATGATTCTATGTAAAGCACAACATTTCTTTCTTAGTGAATACTTGAAGCAGTATTTGCCTTTTCAAGACCTTTGATAGAAAAGATACATTTTAATTAAACAAGTAGCATGCCTGCTTAAAAGTTGAAGAAGGTTCATGAATGGGGGAAGAGTTTTAAACTTGACTGGGTTTCCTTCTAACTTAAGTAGGTGTGCCAAGTTTCATTTTTAGGGGAATCATGGTATGTCCCTGTGAGTATCCTCAGTTAGGTAATAGTAAATCTATGATTCCCTGGCAATTCTTCTGTATTTCAGTTATATGGGGAAAAAAAGAGTGAGCTTTTTCCTTCCTCCCTTCTTTTTCTTTTTCTCTTTGGTTTCCTGTCTTTCCTTACTCCTTCCCTTCCTTCCTTTTTTTCTTTCTTGTCTTTAGTCCAAGTATATATATACACACATATATACATAACATATACATATATCTCTGATTCTGATCAGCACATTAAATTGTTTCACAAATCTTTATGATTAACTTTACTTTTAGAGATTTCCATTGTAATGTAAGATATCTGGATTCCATTACACTTTGCTACTAATTGCTGTTTAAATTTGAGCAAATCAGGGGCGCCTGGGTGGCTTAGTTGGTTAAGCGTCCGACTTTCGCTTAGGTCATGATCTCGCGGTTCGTGGGTTCGAACCCCGCGTCGGGCTCTGTACTGACTGCCAGCTCAGAGCCTGGAGACTATTTCAGAGTCTGTGTCTCCCTCTCTCTCTGACCCTCCCCTGCTCATGCTCTCTCTCTCGCTCTCTCTCTCTCCTAGAAATAAATAAAAATATTAAAAAAAAAAATTAAATTTGAGCAAATCATTACTCTTCAATAAAGTGACATTGAAAGATTAACAAAGGTTGCTGAGGATGGGACTATATTCTACATCTAGAAAGTAAATACTCAGTTTAAAATGATAGGTAAGAAGGGGTAGAATAACTGAGCAAACAGCATTATTATTTTGATAAGTAGAGTATACAGAAAGAATTTGGGTAAGAGAAGAAATATTTTAGTTAAAAATGATATTTTATAGTTTGGGATTACTAGCATATGATTTAAAAATCAAAGACTTGCTCACAACCAACAGCTTTTTCATCTTCAGTACTAAATAGAGGGCCATCTATGCATCTACAGAAAAGTCAATAACTTTGAAGTCAAAAGACTTGGTTTCTACCTTGATTATGTCCAAATTTTGAGAACCAAAAAACTGCTAAATATGTGAATTAAAAAACTACTAAATAGAAATTTGGCAAACTCATTAACGTTTTTGATGTCTACTTTTTCTACTATAAATTGAAAATAATATCACAGAGAGTTGAGAATATGCATGTTATGTTATGTGAGAGTGCTTTGAAAACTATATTCTTACTTGAATACAAATGGAAATTTGGTGCTACTGAGATGAGAAGGTGAGGTAGGGAAAATGAGAGAAGAGAGGAGAAAATGTAAATAAAAGGAGGAAAAGAATAGGAGTAAAAAGTATATGTGTACAGAGTGGTTCACTAATACCAACAACTGCCTCAGGAAATTTCCTATTCCTTTTCATTTTTTTACCTCTGGAAGAAGTTAGAGAAGAACTGCCACACCATGCAGGTATTTAACTTTAATTTTAATACAGTTCTAGGAATCATTTTTCAGTTTTATGTTTTTGATTACAAATGAAATCAATATAAAATGGAAAACTTTTGTACACATTTAGCCAACAGGGTCATGAAAACAAATATTCTAAATTTTAATAGAATATTGGGGTGCCTGGGTAGCTCAGTTGGTTAAGTGTCAACTCTTGGTTTTGGCTCAGGTCATGGTCTCACAGTTTGTGGGTTCCAGTGCCATGTTTGGGCTCTGCGCTGCTGGTGCAAAGCCTGCTTGGGATTCTGTCTCTCCCTCTCCCTCTCCCTGCCCCTCCCCAACTCATGTGCCCTTGTGGGTCCTCTCTCTCAAATACTAAAAAAATAATTTAAAAATGTTAGTAGAATACTGTGGTTACTATTTTACATATGAAATAACTGGGCTTTCATTTCCCCTTGGAGCAATTTTTTTTTAGGTGCTCAGAGTAGTTTTATAAAACTTGATACAGTTCTTATAATCCAAAGTAGTAAAATGTCGGGGCGCCTGGGTGGCTTAGTCGGTTAAGCGTCCGACTTTCGCTTAGGTCATGATCTCACGGTTTGTGGGTTCAAGCCCCGCGTCGGGCTCTGTGCTGACTGCNCTCTCAATCCAGGAACAAAAGGGGAAAGCCTGGCATAGTAGTGGTCTCTGGAGCCATGTGCTGACACTGCAACCAGCTTTTAGTTCTGACTGGGTAGTGCCCAAGCTTTACCACCTATGAAATATTTTTTAAAAAAATTTTTAGGGGCGCCTGGGTGACTTAGTCGGTTAAGCGTCCGACTTTCACTTAGGTCATGATCTCGCGGTTTGTGGGTTCGAGTCCCGCGTCCGGCTCTGTGCTGACTGCCAGCTCAGAGCCTGGAGCCTGTTTCAATCTGTGACTCCCTCTCTCTCTGACCCTCCCCTGTTCACGCTGTCTCTCTCTCTCTCTCTCCTAGAAATAAATAAAACATTTAAAAAAAAACAAAAAAGAAAAACAAAGTAGTAAAATGTAGAAAGTACTGCCAGTTTGCTCAGCAAATTATTGTAACTTTGAGAGAAGCCTAAGAATGTGCTGACTGATAAGATTTTTTCTTTTGATTTCTTTATGATAGTTTTATCGAGATATAATTTACATACCATAAAACTCACCCATTTAAAATATACAATTCAATAGTTTTTAGTATATTCGTAGAGTTGTACAGTCATCATCATTAGTTAATTTTAGAACATAACTGAAGGGATCTTTTTGAAAGATAAAACATTTTTTCCTGATACTATCTTTGAAGATTTTGAGCTAGTTATATATATTAAATCTCATTTGTAATTGTGTATAAACATATGATGCCTAGTACATGTACTATCAAAAAAACCTTTTATTGATAGTTTTTTAGGGAAATCAAAAAGTATATCTTCAAGTAGGTTTGAGCAAATTAAGAGTTCAAATGTAATCTCCAGCTTTATTGGTTGTTAGGTTTCTGGATCTAGCTACTAATCAAACTTTAGGAAACTTGGACTGAAATAAGCTGGCATACATGTCTATTCTTTCCTTTACACTTAGGTTAGATTTGGAGGCTCAAAATCTCTGCTTAATAATTCTTTCTACTTTCAGCTTATCTTGCTCTCAGAAATGACTGATGAGTGAAATGGAAAGGAAAAGTAAGGCCTTCTCTGGTTTTCCATATGGCTTCATAGTTGGCCAGGTTTCCTTATCTGGCGTTTTCTCCTTTTTGAGAGGTTCAGAAATGAAGATGGTAATCAATACGTAGTAGATCTTCTAGATATGATAGGGAAGAATTTGATGACATTTGGAACCATATTCTCATAATTTATACAATCAGTAATACTCAGTAAGCGAATCTGAATAAGTCTTCAACTCCCTAGGGGTGCCTGGGTGGCTTAGTTGGTTGAGCGTCCAACTTTGGCTCAGGACATGATCTCACGGTTCGTGGGTTCGAGCCCCGTGTCGGGCTCTGTGCTGACAGCTCAGAGCCTGGAGCGTGCTTCAGATTCTGTGTCTGCCTCTCTTTCTGACCCTCCCCTGTTCACGCTGACTCTCTCTCTCAGAAATAAATAAAAACATAAAAAAAAAAAAAGAAAAGTCTTCAACTCCCTAAATACCTTCTCTCTTGACTTTCCTTTAACGGAAGTAATTATCTCATCCTTACTGTTTAGTTAGTTATATGTAGGTATTTTTATTTTTCCACAATATTTCATGTTTCTCTTTTTTTCTCTTTTGACACTGAGAATTTTCTGCCTATTTTTTTTAATGTTTTATGTATTTCTGAGAGACAGACAGACAGACAGACAGTGTGAGCAGGGGAGGGTCAGAGAGACAGGGAGACAACAGAATTTGAAGCAGGCTTCAGGCTTTGAGCTAGCTGTCAGCACAGAGCCCGATGCAGGGCTCGAACCCATGAAGCGTGAGATCATGACCTGAGCTGAAGTCGGGTGCTCAACCAACTGAGCCACTCAGGCACCCCATTTCTGCCTCTTTCTTAGAGTGTTAGGCATATATTCCAGCAGTAGAAAATTTGCTATAGGAATTTTTTATGCTTAATGTATTATACAATGTAAGTATTATATTTAATTTATATTTAAGGCAATTACATTCAATTATATATTTTTAAATAGAAATATATTTAAGGGGTGCTGGGTGGCTCTTGATTTCGGCTCAGGTCATGATCACAGGGTTGTAGGATCAATCCCCACCTAGGGCTCTGTGCTGAGCATGGAGCCTGCTTAAGATTTTCTATGCCCCGCTCCCCAGCTTGTACTCTCTCTCTCTTTAATTAAAAAAAAGAGAGAAAATATATTTAAAATGGAAAAGCTTCCTTTAGTTATAGTAACCTTGGGTAATCTCATACTGTCATCAGTAGCATGAAGTGTATAAATATTTTGAGCATGCTAACCATGTTGGTAAAGCCTCTGAGAAATCTTAATTAGTAATCTGCTTCTAACAGCATGAAGTGGTGTATTTCTGAATACTTGGTAATTTTCATGATCTTTGCCTCAAAAAATTAAGGAACTATAGAAATTCTGTGTACACTTTTCATAAATTAATAGATAAAGAATAGATTTATCTTTCAGATCATAGCCTCTTAAACTTAACTGTATTTCTAGTCAGTGTGACCTCTGACTAGTAATGAGCTCCATGTATTTATAAAAAGTAGATATCCTTTTATTTATTATACCAATAAGAGTAAACTTTACAGAATATCTCCTTACATCTGAGGTTCACAAATGCCAGTCCTTGCCCCTCTGGCACACTAGCTTTATCAGAATCTGTTGTCCTAAATAGAGCTTTTCAGAATTAAAAAATGTAAACCTAGTTATTGCTATATCAATCTTCATATTTTATATACACACAAATGCACACACATATGTGTGTGTATGTATATATGTATATACACATATATGTAAAATTCACCTCTCCATTCAAAATTGTATCTTGCAAGTTACATCATATTAAATAACCATATCATAATTATTTTCCAAACATATTAAAGTAGTTTAATTTACTTCCTTGACCTTGGTCAGAATGGATTAAAAATACTCCAAATAGAACATTTATTCTTTGTTCATCAGATTTTTTGGAAGAGATTTGGAACATATTTTCTGTTTACACAAAAACTGAAAAATACTGCTCCATTCTATACCCAGAGGGGCCTGGCTGAAAAAAAGTATCCTTTGCTATCCAGTCTGTGTCATTACCCTACAAATGAGGCTCCCATGTAGTAAAATGCCTTTTAGCATGTAAGTTACTGAATCTTAATATTAACCTACTTGAATTAAGCTCTATGCTAGTGAAATAATTTGCTAATAGCATTTTTCAGAGTGATTTAGTATTTAGATATATTTGTAGTGATAACAACCCTTAAAAAAAAAAAAACCAGTCAAGTTCTCAGTGCTCAGATCATTCCCCATTTTCCTATTTACCTATTTCATTCAAAATCACTTTTGGCAAGCTGCTACATATATGCCATTATATTCTTTCTTAAAAACTCTACCTCTCTAAAGCAGATTTTAATGTTTATTTTTATAACTTAGAGGGAAAGGCAGAAATGACATTCTCAAATTCTTAATTTTCCCTTAAAAAATTGAGGCTTGAGAACTAAAAGAAAACACTGAACCATCTCTCAAAAGGCCTTAACTTAAGGATTATTAACTTAAGGTTGATAATCAATAGTCTAGCAGTTATTTGATAATTCAAATCATATCAAGAACCTGCAAGTAAAGTAAAAAATATGTTTGACTAGTTGAAATAAATGTCAAATAAAATAGAAGATACTCAGGCCTGTTTACTGATGGAATGACTCAATTTAATATAGTATTAGTAAGGATAAACTCAAAGTACCACTGCACAGTAGGAATGAGAAAGGCAAACATTCATTCAATCAGCAAACATTTATTATATTCTGACTAAATATAGAATTTGCTTTTGTATTTTCCACCTTCCCAAGAAAGGAAGGAAGAAAGGGATTTTATATTAAGATTCACAGTCTTTATTCTAGCTTCTGTCATCTCTATCTTATAAAAACCAGTTTTTTGTTTGTTTTTAATTACTACCAAATTGGCAAGTAGAAAATAATAACTATACTGAGATAAAGATGCTATTGAAAGTTGTAATTTAATAACTATGCTAGTCTTGGTGGGTCAAGGTAAAAGAATAAAAGGTAAAGTCTTTTTTTCTCTGGTGGCCTTTTATTTAATTAATAGAAAATACATATCTTTTTTAATTTGGTCACTTCGGTAAAAAGCAGAGGTGCTCCTGGATAGCATAGTCAGTCTTAACTGACCTGAGCATCTGGCTCAGGTCATGATCTCAGGGTTTGTGGGATCGGTTGAGCATTAGACCCTGCACTGACAGTGTGGAGCCTGCTTGGGAGGATTTTCTCTCTTTCCCTGCCCTGCTCGTGCTCACTCACTGTCTCTCAAAATAAATAGATAAACATTTTTTTAAAGCAGATAAAATAGTGTTTTTGAGTAAAAGTTTTTAGGAGAAATGCTTCTCACATTCATCAGTGAAAAGTATGATCTCATTCAGAACTTTGGGGAGATTCTTTCAAATAAAAAGGGAGAGAATTTCTTTCCTTCATTCCCTTAGTGTAGCTAGATCCCTACTTTCAGGCTAAAGCTATAATTAGTGCATCTACAGTATGTAATAACTGGAACTTTTGTAATCTTTTACTTGAATCTCCATTTATAATAGTTTTCTATGGGAAGATGTATGCAGGATGCCAAAGTGGTTTACAAATGAACTTTTGATGAATGCCTATATTCTAAAAAGCAAGATATTTATTTTCATTTAAAAAAAATTTTTTTAAGGTTTTTATTTATTTCTAGGAGAGAGAGAGAGAGAGAGTGTGAGCAGGGGAGGGTCAGAGAGAGAGGGAATCACAGACTGAAACAGGCTCCAGGCTCTGAGCTGGCAGTCAGTACAGAGCCCGACGCGGGGCCCGAACCCACGAACCGCGAGATCATGACCTAAGCGAAAGTCGGACGCTTAACCGACTAAGCCACCCAGGCGCCCCTATTTTCATTTTTAGAGTATTAAGACTAGAATATGTATTTTGCAGTGACCATATTTTAAATTGATTTACCTTTTTTTAAATTTTTTAATGTTTATTTTTGAGAGAGAAAGAGAGACAGCGTGAGCAGGGGAAGGTCAGAGAGAGAGAGGGAGACACAGAATCCGAAACAGGCTCCAGGCTCCAAACCAGCTGTGAGCACAGAGCCCAATGCAGGGCTCGAACCCACAAACCGTGAGATCATGACCTAAGCAGAAGTCGGATGCTCAGCCGACTGAACCACCCAGGAGCGCCTGATTTACCTTTCTTAAGCTATAGTTCTGTTGTATATTCTGGAGGAAGGATTTATTCCTATTACTAACTTTAAATGAAGATTTTTAAAAATTGTTAAAATACTAAGAGATCTACTGAGGCACAGATGACATAAAATGTATTCTCAAAAGGAGAATGCATTTCTGGAATAGCTTTTGAAATAAGGTAATTTTAATGTTTCTTTAATATATCTCATGCCTTTGCTTATGATTGAATATTATTTAATAACATCCTGTAAGAGTTTCTCTGTATTACTTAAGTACTTGTTATAAATTTGTTGGTCAGTCTCTTTTTTTTTTTTTTTTTTTTTTTTTTTTAAGTGCAGATGGGGTAATAATAATTGTTGATTCTGGATTTGTTTTAACTTTTTTCTCAGTTTTAAGATTTCCTCATTTTGTTTTCCCTGGTAGTTATTTGAGTAGTAATATGTTTGCCTATTACTAATTAAGGTTTTTCTTTAATAACAGATTTATACCTAAAACTGGAAGATGTGACCCATAAATTTAATAAGCCCTGTATAATGGATGTAAAGATAGGGCGAAAGAGTTATGATCCTTTTGCCTCATCTGAGAAGATTAAGCAACAGGTCAGCAAGTACCCATTAATGGAAGAGATTGGGTTCTTGGTGCTTGGCATGAGGGTAAGATTGATTATTGGTAACCTTTCTCTTTAATATTCTTCCCTTAAAAATTATAGATGTATTATAATAGTTATATATTATAAAGTAATATATTTTGGATTTGAGTTGTCCATATTTCCCCCAATGAGGGCAGAGGTTTTTCTCTCTTTGTTCACTAATATATGGTCAGTGTCTGGAATGGTTCTGACACACAGTATGTAATTAATAAATGAATAATTGGCTTAACTATAAGACTCTGGGACAGGTAATTTTGTTTTTAAGAAGCTTAAGTTTAGGTGCAAAGTAAATAACATGGTAAGTATGATATTTGTGATTTTGCCATGAGAAAGTCCTGAGTTCATATGTTCAGTGATTTTTCTATATTTTTTTTTAAATAGAAAATGAAACTTAAGGGGCGCCTGGGTGGCTTAGTCGGTTAAGCATCCGACTTTCACTTGGGTCATGATCTCACGGTTCGTGGGTTCGAGCCCCGCGTCGGGCTCTGTGCTGACTGCCAGCTCAGAGCCTGGAGCCTGTTTCACAGTCTGTGACTCCCTCTCTCTCTGACCCTCCCCTGCTCACGCTGTCTCTCTCTCTCCTAGAAATAAATAAAACATTTAAAAAAAAAAAATGAAACTTAAAAATTAGGCTATTGCTTCAGACTACAATTTAAAACAGTTTTATTTGCTCATGATTCTGTGGGTTGGCAGTTTGAACTGGGTTCAGGTGGACAATTTGCTGATCTCACTTAGTGACATATATGGCTGTGGTCATCTGATGAGTCAGCTAGAGCTAGATAGTAGTCTAAAATGACCTAATTCTCATGTCTGGGAAATGGTACTGTTGGCTGGACCCTTCTCCCTGTCATCTCTCATGTTCCAGAATGCTAACTGGAGCTTCTTCATGTATCACATTCCAAGAAGGCAAGAGTGAGAGCTAAAAGGGCTCTTGAAATCTACATTAGGAAGTTACTTGCTGTCATGTCTATGGAATTTTATAGGTCAAAGTATTATATCACAGGGCCAACCTATATTAATAGGGAAAAGAAACAGACTCTACTTCTGATTGTAGGAATAGAGAAGTCACAATACAAATGGCAGTGCACACAAGAATGGGAAGGATTGTTGAGGACATCTTTGTAAATAACATGCCACAGTTAAAAAGTAATGTGGAATCAAATCCTCTAAACAAATGATATGCCTTCTAAATGTGTGGAGGTAAAATTTGTATATATGATAAATGATTGTTTACCTTTATAAGCATAATGGGTAGTTTTGAAACTCATCATGTAGGATGATATATAGGTTTTCCTTCTGACTTTTAAGCAGGAGTGTTAATAGGAAGCATTATAGATGAATTGTTAATGTGATGGTAATAACAACACAGTTGAATTTGGCATTTGGATTTTAAATAAAACCAAAGAAATTAGAATAGAAAACTACAATTAAATATGGGTATATGGATACAAAGGTAGACACATAAGGGTAGGAGCAGACCTATCTACTGAAACTTGGCAGGCCAGAAAAGAATTGCAGGAAATCTTAAATATGATGAACAGAAAAAATATGCAGTCAAGAATCCTTTATCCAGCAAGCCTGTCATTCAGAACAGAAGGAGACATAAAGGTTTTCCCAAACAAACGAAAATTGATGGAATTCGTCACCACTAAACCAGCCCTACAGGAAATCCTAAGGGGGACTCTATGAGTGAAATGTTGCAAAGAACACGAAGTAACAGAGACACCACTACAAGCATGAATCCTACGAGAACATAATGACTCTAAACTCTGTTATTCAATAATAACACTGAATGTAAATAGACTAAATGCTCCAATCAAAAGACATAGGGTATCAGAATGAATATAAAAATAAGATCCATCTATTTGCTGTCTAAAAGAGACTCATTTTAGATGTGAGGACACCTTCAGATTGAAAGTGAGGGGATGGAGGGGCGCCTGGGTGGCTTAGTCGGTTGAGCATCCGACTTTCGCTTAGGTCATGATCTCGCGGTTCGTGGGTTCAAGCCCCGCATCGGGCTCTGTGCTGACTGCCAGCTCAGAGCCTGGAGCCTGTTTCAGAGTCTGTGACTCCCTCTCTCTCTGACCCTCCCCTGCTCACGCTGTCTCTCTCTCTCCTAGAAATAAATAAAAATATTTAAAAAAAAAAAAAAAAAAAGAAAGTGAGGGGATGGAGAAATATCTGTTACGCTACTGGAAGCCAAAAGAAAGCTGGAGTAGCCATACTTATATCGGACAAACTGGACTTTAAGGTTAAGGCAGTAACAAGAGATGAAGAAGAACATTATATAATAATTACAGGATCTATCCATCAGGAAAAGCTAATAATTATAAACATCTACGCACCGAATACAGGAGCACCCAAATACATAAAACAATCACAAACAGAAACAATCTTACTGATTCAAGAATGTGCTAATTGCAGGGGACTTTAATACTCCACTTACTCAATGAATAGGTCAACTAGACAGAAAGTCACTAAAGAAGCAATGGACCTGAATGACACATTGGACCAGGTGGATTAGACATTTAGAACTCTACATCCTGAAGCTATGGAATTCACTTTCTTCTCGAGTGTGCATGGTACATTCCAAGATAGATCACACACTGGGTCCCAAAGCAGCTCTCAATAAATATAAAAGAATTGAGTTCATACATACTATGCAGTACACTTTCAGATCACAATGTTATGAAACTTGAAATCAATCACAGGAAAAAGTCTGAAAAACCTCCAAAAACGTTGGAGGTTAAAGAACACCCTACTAAAGAACAAATGGGTCAACCATGAAACTAGAGAAGAAATTAAAAAATATATGCAAACAAATGAAGATGAATACAACAATCCAAACCCTTTGGGATGGGTACAGCAAAGGCAATCCTAAGAAGAAAAGACATTGCAATCCAGGCCTATTTCAAGAAACTAGAAAAAGCACAAATACAAAATCCAAGAGCACACCTAAAGGAAATAGAAGCAGAGCAGCAAAGACACCCCAAACCCAGCAGAAGAAGAGAAAGAATAAAGGTCAGGGTAGAAATAAACAATACAGAATCCAAAACAAACAAACAAACAAAAAAAACCAGTTGAACAGATCAATGAAACCAAGAGTTGGTTTTTTGAAAAAATAAGCAAAATTGATAAACCCCTAGCCAGGATTTTCAAAAAGAAAAGAGAGAGTACCAAAATAGACAAAGTCACGAATGAAAATGGGTTTATTATAATCAATCCCTCAGAAGTACTAGCAGTTATCAGGGAGTACTATGAAAAATTATATGCCAACAAACTGGACAACCTAGAAGAAATGGACAAATTCCTGAATACCCACACTACCAAAACTCAAACAGGAAGAAATAGAAAATCTGAACAGACCTATTACTAGTGAAGAAGTTGAGTCAGTTATCAAAAATCTCCCAACAAATAAGAGCCCTGGGCCAGATGGCTTCCCTGGGGTATTCTTTTTTTTTTTTTTTATTTCTAAGAGAGAGAGAGACAGCGTGAGTAGGGGAGGGTCAGAGAGAGAGGGAGTCACAGACTGAAACAGGCTCCAGGCTCTGAGCTGGCAGTCAGCACAGAGCCCGACGCGGGGCTCGAACCCACGAACCGCGAGATCACGACCTAAGCGAAAGTCGGACGCTTAACCGACTAAGCCACCCAGGCGCCCCTTCCCTGGGGAATTCTACCAGACATTTAAAACAGAATTAATACCATTCTTCTCAAGCTGTTCCAGAAAATAGAAATGGAAGGAAAATTTCTGGACTCATTGTATGAAGCGAACATCACTTTGATTCTCAAACTAGACAGAGACCCAGCAAAAGAAGAGAACTACAGGTCAATATCCCTGATGAATATGGATGCAAAAATCCTCACCAAGATACTAGCAAATTGAATTCAACAGCATATTAAAAAGAATTATTCACTATGATAAGTGGGATTCATTCTTGGGTTACAGGGCTGGTTCAGTATTCACAAATCACTCAATGTGATTCTGTCAATAGATGCAGGAAAAGCATTTGACAAAATACAGCATCCTTTCTTAATAAAAACCCTCAAGAAGGGATAGAAGGAACTTACTTAAACATTTTAAAAGCCATTTATGAAAAGTCCACAGCTAATATCATCCTCAATGGGGAAAAACTGAGAGCTTTCCCCCTGAGATCAGGAACACGACAGAGATGTCCACTCTTACCACTGTTGTTTAACATAGTTCTGGAAGTCCTAGCATCAGCAGTCAGACAACAAAAGGAAATCAAAGGCATCAGAATTGGCAAAGAGGAAGTCAAACTTTCACTTTTCACAAATGATATGATACTCTACATGGAAAACATGACAGACTCCACCAGAAGTCTACTAGAACTGATCCATGAATTCTGCAAAGTCTCATGGTACAAAACCAACATACAGAAATTGGTTGCATTTTTATACACCAATAATGAAGCAACAGAGAAATCAAGAAACTGATCCCATTCACAATTGCACCAAAACTCACAAAATACCTAGGAATAAACCTAACCAAAGATAAAAAAGATTTGTATGATGAGAACTATAGAAAACTTACACAAAGGAGTGGAAAAACATTCCATGTTCATGGATTGGAAGAATAAATACAGTTAAAGTGTCAATACTACCCAAAGCAATCTACACATTCAACGCAATCCCAATCAAAATTAGGATTCTTCTTAAGGCTAGAATAAACAATCCTAAAATTTGTATGGAACCACAGAAGACCCCAAATAGCCAAAGTCATATTGAAGAAGAAACCAAAATGGGAGGCATCATAATACCAGGCTTTAGCCTCTACTACAAAGCTGTCATCATCAAGAAAGTATGGTATTGGCACGAAAACAGACTCATAGACCAATGGAATAGAATAGAGAACCTAGAATTGGACCCACAAATGTATGGCCAATTAATCTTGACAAAGCGTGAAAGAGTATCCCATGGAAAAAAAGACAGTCTCTTTAACAGATGGTGCTGGGAGAACATGGACAGCAACATACAGAAGAATGA